CATTATACCTTAACATTTAATAACATAAAGGAAAATACAGTTGGTGAGTTGCCTAAGGAATGTGTTAAAGTTATAGCGAGTTATCGATTCACTTATCGAGTTATTTTCTCTACGAAAGGGCCACGTTATAAAGAGATGGAGAATTATTTTACTTTACGCAGTCTAATAATGATTTTTATAAAAGTCTACGTTAATCTAATACTTGTAAAAGAGAACAAGTTGTGTGAGTGTACATATTAAATGAGTAATATGCATAATTTCAAATGAAAAATAATTTTATTTGTTTAATTTTATGCAAAATGGCTACACAATGGGCTATTTGCGCTCTGCTCACCGCGGGTATCGAACCCCGAATTTTTACGTTATAAAGATCTCACTGCTGAGCCTCCTGGGGGCAATGAATTATAAAAAAAACGTACAACAACGTGAATGTTAAAATTAAGGTCTTTAAAGATTATTAATATTTTGAATAATGGATCAAACTATTCATTCTATTTTGGGGGGAAAATAACGTTTTAAAACATTATTTCAAAGAGGTTCATAGGGATTAGAAATTATAAACACAAATTTCTGAGTGAAAGTAAAGAAGAATGTACAATAATATGTGAACCATCTATATCTACTATATCTAGTACCGACGAGGCCTTTTGCTAATACCAAGACTCTTCAGGCCGGCTGGGATACAACAAACAAATCAGTAGTCGAGACACTATTTATATGAGGAAACTACTTCTGTGTGAACTGGATTAAGATGACATTGCTACGGTGTGAACTGGATTAATATGACATTGTTACAGTGTGAACTGGATTAAAATTAGACTAGAGGGAAGGTAACTAACAAACAGTGACTTTAAACTGATAGAGTAGAGGAAAGGCAACTGACCAACAGTGACTTAAACTGACAGACTAGACGGAAGGCGACTGACCAACAATGACTTTAAACTGATAGACTAGAGGGAAGGCAACTGATCAATACCATACAACGGGGAAGCAGGCCTTCTATTCATCCGAGTGACAGGACACAACTATTTTTTGTACTGTGCATAACTGAATAATTTTTAATGTTACATGCGTTTTCTATAATGGAGTATTTCATTTTAAACATTTTGAAGCAAGATTATTTTGTTCTGGATATTTTATGAGATAGAAATGATTAAAGTTAACTGTCATATATATCTTGCAAATCAGTTATTTTAATCCAGTTCACACTGTAGCAATGTCTCAGTTTAAAGTCACTGTTGGTCAGTTGCCTTCCCTCTAGTCCATCAGTTTAAAGACACTGTTGGTCAGTTGCCTACCCTCTAGTCTATCAGTTTAAAGTTACCGTTTGTTAGTTACCTTCCCTCTGGTCTATCAGTTTAGTAAGGTCAGTGACATATATGGGGCAGATAGGCTTTGTGCAAAAATTCTGAAACAAACAAACTAACGAATAAAGTGTTGGTGATAAAAAACATGTAAAGATTTTGGTACGTAACTGATAAGAGAAATAAGAATTAACATTTACTAGCAACTAGGTTGAAGAGAATTATTGGGTGATTTAAAAATGACATCTTAAATTAAAGGATTAAAAAGCTCAGAATTTTAAAAGGACAATTAACTAACAAATAGGCCAGTGAATTTTATGATAAGGATTAACCCTTCAACTTCAAGTGTGCAATAAACAAAGTGAATGCTAAACTACGGTACAGTTAAGTATGAAACTCATCCGGATTAGAAGGACGTTTCGGATGCTTGGACACATCAGAAAACAATCATAACATTAAAATATAAAAAAAAAAAATCATGTTTTGTGCCATACCGATAGATTTCACCGTATAGAATATAAAATCATAGAAACCAGTAAGTTTAATTATGTAAGTCTATCAAGCAACTACTCTGAATTAGCTTCTTAGATTTCCTTGGAATCCTGATGGAGGAAATAGTGCACAATACGCGAAACGTATACGAGCCAAAACAAGTAATTTCAAAAATCTGTCTTCTTTTTTTTTTCTCAGCAAGAATGGTTAGACATTTTATATTTTATTTTCTAATTCATTACTGACCTTGACTCAAGGTTTCTTTGTTTGTTTTCGAATTTTGCGCAAAGCTACACGAGGACTATCTGCGCTAGCCGTCCCTAATTTAGCAGTGT